ACAACGAGAAGATTTTTAATGCAAGCGATATACATATAATTTGAATATGTTAATATATTATAAAAAAATTTAAATATAATAATATATTTTGCAATAATATACTTTGCACAAATAAAACGATAGTTTGTGATTACATCTTTATTGATTGACGAACTCATTGTCAGATCATAATTTTTTTGCGTTGTATATTCTATGAAAAAAACGATATTAATTATTAAGCATATTTCGCGTAAGTACATACGGCAGTTTTAATTATTCTATAATTTACGATTGCAAATAAAATATCTGGATATTAATACCGTTGGAAAAAAAAATGTTACTCCGACACACAAAACGTTTTGCATCAAAATTGCACTCAGTCGTCTTGTCAATTATAACACCTCGTATAATACACGAGATCCTTGAAAGATGAAAAGTGCCGACCTTCAACGGAGCGAATAATCATTATCTTCCTACAGAACGGTCCTGGCGATATATTGTCCGTTCTTCGCGGGAGATCGAGTGTTTGCAATTGTGTGTCAGTCTATAATGCTACCAGACAAGTGCGGCGGCAACGGGGACACCCCGGTGTCCCCGCTGCTATTCGTTACTTCATTTTCTTCAGTCTTTTTTTTCGTACACTTTCAAACGACGTCGATTCTTTAGAGAAGACGCCGACACATTTTCGCGGAAATTGACGTTAATAGAGTATTCCTAATTCATCGCGTAAATAAAGCTAGCCGGTATCTATTATTTAAACATACGCAAAGTGTTTTCTTCATCTTAATTTTCGTTTCTCGTTCTCTTCCAAAATTAAACTTGTATTTACGCGTAAATTTTTATTAGAAAATTAAATAGATGTTATTAGATATCGTCTCTTTTCTCGTCCAATAATTCTCCAAACGCCGAGATTTTACTTAATTAATCTTAATTCCTTGAATTATAATGTAATTGAGACTGCAATATTCATAAATGTTTTGCTTATTACTGGATTACAAGAATATTTACGATTCGAAAACCAGATTGAATTTTTTTTATGTGATAAATCTAGAGATAAATTTTACTATGTAACAAGAAAATACTCTATATAAGTTCTATTGCTTAATCGTTCTAATCATGCGCTATCAATTTACAGATGAAAAGTCATATTCGAGCAGGTGGTCACGATTACCGTTGCCGCCTGGAGTCACCGTGGAATTACAAAATCGCAAACTCTGGGAGCAATTTCATGCCGAGAGCACAGAAATGATCATCACCAAGTCGGGACGGTGAGTACGCGTTATTATATTAATACGCATTATACATATAGTTTTCTGCAAAGCCATTTTATATAAAAATTGCTTGTTATTTCTAAACGCGCGTTGTTGCTTCAAATATTCTTCAAAAATATTATTAGACATTAAAAATAAGCGCTATAGCCATAAGAAGTGCCATAGTGCTGTAGCAATAAAAAAAAAAGAGGGAATTCAATATTGAATTCTCGATAAACCAATAAAAAATACGATAAATCTTCGATGTTGTATAATACTCTTTCTCTCTCAATAAGCGAAGTATAGAAATTTCGTATCTCGATAACGCAGGTACAAAATTTCGTCAAACGATAACGAATAATCGTCAATAAGGTCACAATGCTTAAACTTTCGCCGTTACTAATGTAATCGTAATTGTACGCGTTTTTACGCAATCTAATCCGTCTAAATGGCGCCCGGCGCGACGGAAGAGATACCGGCGGGCGCTTTCAATTGAACAAGCAAGACGAGATACTTCCCTTTGACGCGCGCTTCAACTTCGAGATCTCTTTTCGTCTTGGCGCCTGTAAGAGGTGCGTCACGCACCATAGAGACGACGCCGTTGCAACCACTCCCTCCGTCTGCCGGCCGGCGCGGCGCCGCGCCGACGCACTCGAAAAACCGCTGCACGGTCGCAATTTTTTTTACGAAACAATGGACCTCCCCGCGGGGATTCCGCCAAAAAGTAATACGAGGCTCGGCATCTGCCGGCTGCCGGTCGCAAATCTGCTGGACGCGCGAGGACGACCGAGAGACTTGGACAATTTTCTTTTCTCTCTCCCGCAGAGTAAACCGTTTTTAAATAAAAAAAGAAAGAATCGAAGTTAATTAAAAGAAAAAAAAAAAAAACATTTTATTTCGCTCACAAAGCTCCTCCTTAGAGCAAGTCGATTTTTCAATTTTGGCTTTCTAATTCCTCATAGAGAAAGCTTTGTGAGTGAAATAAAAAGATAAAGAATCATCGGCGCAATTTCAACCCGATGTGGGCTTTAGGAGTTTGTTGGCAGATCGACATCGGGCTAATATATGCACATCTTTCCAATGTTGGCCATCTAGGATATTATAAAATATTTTTTTTTTTTTAAATAGAAAATTTACATTTAAAAAAAAATTTATAATTAAAATTCAAAATTTTATAAAAAATAAACTCTCATCAATTCTCGCCAAATTCAATATCAATTATTTAATGATATTCTATTCATGTTAAAAAATTTAGCTCGATATCTCAAAATTTACAGAAGTTAGACCTTGCACAAACATTTTTTGATAAATTGAAACTGCCTTAAAATCTAAAACATTGCATGAATTTTTATAAAAATGACAGTAAATGAAAGTATTGTACTACTTTAGGTTTTGGAACATTCTGAACACATTGGCATAGAAAAACGGAAAAAAAATTTTGTTACGAAAACAAAGCTTCCTTTATGAAGAAGCAAAAAAAACATTGCCAATCTCAGCATTATACGTGAACGTTACGATTGTCTGCCTCGCTCCGATTGCTCTCCGACGTTCCTTTATGATAAATTCTAAACAAGAAGCAAGAGTCGAAATTCATTTGACACTTCTGGGAATACGTCAAGTTTTACGAGGATAAAATCGTGCGATCAAAGACGATTATAATTGACGTCGTCGCGCTTTCCTTTGACAGATCATATCGTGAAATGCTAAACGCTTTCTAAAAGATATCAGCAGGATTACTTCCGAAATTCAGTCTGACGCATGTTATTGGCATTCGGTCCCACGACACTCGATAAGCTCCTTTGTAAAAGTACAGACGGACAGACATTACGGAGTGACGACAATGCGTTTAGTTTCGCAGAAGGTCAGATTGTCGCCGGGCGTCGTAAGAGGCGTCATGGGGCACCGTAACAGCGTGGTTGACGATTTATCTGTTCTTGCCGATCAGGGGATCGGAGGGCGTTTCGGATAGGACATAGGTACGTCTTCCATAGAGGCAAGGCGAGACGACCAACGTCGTTCTGGAATCGGACGTCGAATCGCGTCCGCTTCCGTCAACGCCGATCCTTTGCCGGAAGCGATCGAACAACTTCTCAGATGAGACACGGGGCGGTAACCACTCGAGATAGGGGTACGTGGAATTTTGCGTGGTTTTAAACAGATAACGCCACCCGCGATGATGTCACGCGCCACGAGAAGAGATTTCATGTTGTATATCGTGTGTTGCACGTCGCGTGGGCGTGGAAGTCGCAGCGGAAGACAGGAAACGTGCCTGAGTGTTGCCGCGAGCGAGTCCTTTTTGTCCGTCGGTTATTTGTGGGAATCGCTATCAAATTGATTAATTAATAATGACGATATCATATATTTATAAATTTATATTTGTAGAAGCAATGAGGGATGCAAAGATTAAAAAAGATTGTTGATCGACCAATGCAAGTACGATATAGCGATACTATGGAGATTGTTAAAGAAGGACATTTTCCGTGATGTGAATGAATAAGTAATAAATATATCCGCGTTATATATAAATAATAGCCTGATATTGAAGAATGTTTGTATTTATTCTATCGAAGGGATGCAATAGCCGCAGTATTGATTACGACCTACTTCAATACTTCACGAGATAAGAAATGGAACTTTTTTTATAATGTTTGTGTTTCAAAAGTATGCATTTCATATATAAAAAATGAAGATTTAAAGATAAATTGTTCACAATTTTCTTATCTAATATTTATATTGTCTGATAGGGGTATATGACAGAGATAAATTCGTGATAAATAATATGTATATTAAATGTTTCAGAATCATATATGACATTTCAGGGGGAGGGATGGATTTCTTTTTTTTAGATTTAGTGAGTTTTTCCTGAACATAAAAATATCAAAAAATATATATTAACAGTTCTTAATTTATAAGAGTTCGAGAACTTTCGAATTTAAAAATCAGCGAATTTAAATTTGCGTTATTCACACATTCCGTCATACTTTCTTTTAACATTCTTTTTTTACTTTTACATGAACCTGTACCCATTTATGTGATAAACATTCAAAAACATTCATTATTTCTTTTTCGAAGTCTCTCGTGAAAAAGTCTACGCGCGTTTGACCATACATCGTAAGATATATCTTGTTACGAGACACAACTGGACCACCTAAAGTCTCCCGACCAACGTAAGACGACCATCGATCGTGCTTTTAACGAGCTGACGGATCGCGAGAAGACGATATTGACGCTCTGAAAAGAAGTCGGAACACGTGTTTATCTTCCAGCATGCATATTCCTGGGCGGTCCAGGCGCGACAATAGCGACCGAGGTGTCTGTCTGCCCATTCGTTCGTGCCTTCCGGCGTCTCGCGTTCGCACCACGTGCCCACCACGTGCTCTCTGTTTTCTTTCGCGGCGGACCTTGCGAATTTACTTTCACAATCAATATCTGCCCGTACGATTTTCATTCAACGTCACCATCACTTTTCGTTGTGTTTCATTATTTTCCGTCTCTCTTTCCTTTCAAATCTCGGCCTCTTTTCACAAATCCTTGGTCTTTCGACAATGAACCTGATAAAAAAAGTGTAGTAGAAAAAATGTGCGTAACAGAAGTTGCTTTCGTGATCGATAGATCCACTCTTGCATGACACTAGCAAATAGAAAGTCAAGGGATATTGTTAGATTATCGAAAAGATTTCCTCAGAGATAATTACATGTTGCATTTCTAATTTTGTCCTCTCTCTTTTTCTCTCTATTCGAGGTTAATTAGTTCCAGACTTTATTGTCAAGAGTTCCCTTTCGAGTATATAAAAAAATGTCATAAATGGAATTTCCTTTTAAATATTTGCAAGAATTTAAAGCTGACATGAAATTTATATATATTTAGAAGGAACAAAAAATATATTTCTCTTTTACTCATAATTGTAAGAATATTCATTAGGCAAAACAAAATATATTTATATAAAGAGTATAAAATTCATGTGTTTATGATATTAAAAATATCCAATGAAAAATTAAGAAATAAAAATCCAATGAAAAATCAAGAAATAAAAGTCTAATACGTTTTTAAATAAAACTATATTGTTATTTGCTTCGAAAATATATGTACGTGATAACATATTTATTGTTTTTTTTTACTGATTTTATTATATGGGGATATATCGAATTTCCAAAATTAGAACCGACGCGCATGTTTTTCGTGAGATAGCCCACGCGGGTTCCCCCGCAATCGACAGAACGGGATGCTGCGACCAGAGCTCGTGCCGTCGCAATGCGCGTTACATCACGCCACTACAATCGTTATCTCGTCGCCGCATAATCAAGAGGCTTCTTACAATTAGACCAGATGTCCGTCGCGCGCGGCACGAGCATCCAGCAGCCGTTATAATGGCGCGAACGTAATCTTGGATGCATGATTACTTCTTAAGAATCTGTTCGTTGATTTACGATTATTAATCGCATGTACTATTCAAATTTCGAAATATGAAAAACACGGGAGAAGTAACTCATCACCGAAGTTACCTAACATATGACTGTCAAATGTTTCGATATATTATGTATTTGATGCGTTAAGTCTTTTAAGAATTATATTTATTTGTTTATGGATATTATATTTTTATCTAAAAGTGTTACAATTTTTGCTTACAGTTTTTTAAAAATAAAATTTAAAATTTTATGTCATGTCAAATTAGTTGTACGAAATAGTTAAAGTGATCGGAAATGTATATATAAGATTTTAATTAAAATAATAATTAATATCTTTTTAAAATAATTTGATAATTTTTTACTATTCAAAAACCAAATTTTTTACTATTCGAAAACCAAAGTTAATACCGTTTATACCTGCGTTTCGATGACTCATATTGGCTTTCCCGATACCGATGGTACAACCAGACAAGCGTAAAACAAACCCTTTTAGTCTGACCCCTCGATAGGAAGGACTAAAAAGTAAACGCGGGAAAATGTGGAGAAAACCGCAATTAGAGGCGGGCAAAGCGAGACAACTACTACGATTTTTCGTAGTAATGTTTGACTTTTTACAGACGCATACTTGTCGGATTAGCCGCTACGTTTGAAATGTTTACTGAGAAAATTTACCGATGAAAATCTTGCGAAGAAACAGGAGCCGTTTTAGCATAGCTCATTTTACAATGACGCCTGCTTGTCGCCGGCCCGTTAATGACCAGGGATCCTTTGTTCTTTCAGAGATGCATCGCATACCTACCTGGAAAATCATTTTTCTTTTCAATAGCAGTTGAAAATGGCGAAAGTTATTTACACATAGGATAATTACGCATGTCATTTGTAACCACGAAGTTGTTAAGTTAATAAAGTCTTCAATGTTCGCCCACGAATTATTGTCGCTCATACATAATATGTCTGTAAAAACATAGAGTGAGATTTGGTGATAAAATTATTTATTTTCAAATATCTGGAAATGAAAATTATTAATGCCCTGATATATTTTCGCTAAAAAGAGATGCTCATTACAAACTGGGCATTGATATTATTTTATCATTCGAAATAATTCACATGGGAAACGTTTTGCTTGTGACAAATTATATATTAATAATTTTTTCTTTTTTCTTTTATTCAAATAAAAGAAACACGAAGTGCAATATCATATATATGTATATATAATCATTATGCAACAATGAATTTTTTATTTGATTACAGACGCATGTTTCCATCCATCCAGTTAACAGTAAACGGTTTAAACAAACAGGACTATTATTACGTGCTTATGGAGATAACACCGGCCTCTGATCGCCGTCACAAATATTGCGGAAACGGCGGAGGTGACGATGAAAACGGAAATAAGAGCAACAATATCGGAGGCTGGAGTTTTGCCGGGCCGTCCGAGCCACAGCCGCCATTTGATCGCAGAATATTTTTTCATCCCGATAATCCCGCAACAGGCGAGCAATGGATGCAAAATTCGATCAACTTTAACAAACTAAAACTCACGAACAACATCGTCGATCATCGTAATAACGTAAGTAATGTGCACGTTATATACATTACAAATAAAAATATAATATAATAAAAATATAAATTTAAAAATATATTATATACATATATATTTTTTTATTAATTAAATGTGCTGATATAAGTTGCAAATCTTTCGCTACGGAATGAAATCGATGGTCATGTTTGTTAGGCTTGGGATGGAAACGACTTACACTTGACAATATCGGTACTGCCGGTAGTTATAAAGCAATGATAAGATTATCGCGTGAAAAAAAAAAGAGTAGGGGAGGAAAACACACAATTCAGTAGCCGCCGCCCATTTATCTACTTCTTCGATGTTTTGACAGCCTTACTTGTCTTCCTCATTTTCTATCTCCGCTATTTCGGTTCAGTATTATATTTCTTTTTCGATTTATGTATCGCATGCGGGAGGTCGCCACACATTGTCCTGTTAATCTAATTTGCTTCCGAAACTTTCTCTTTTTAACATTCATCATTAACTAATCTGCTACCGTAAAGCAAAAAATGCCAGCAATTTCAAATTATTTTAAAACATTAAAAGTGACTTTCTATGATTTTTTTCTCTTATGAATATGTTTTCTTTTTCTTCCATTAATTGTAACAATGAATAAAAAGAATTGCGATACGATAATCCATGCCTTTAGACCGTGGAATAATGGAAAAAAATACACTGTAACACGAAATAACGTAAATAATCACTTCAAAGTATATAGGTATAAAAGCTGTCTTCGTCATTAAAAAATCATTACCGCATTATTTTACGTGATTATGGAAATACACATTAGATTCGACGATATATTCGCGATCGAGTCCGCGTTTATTTTTACCCCGATAACGTAACGAATATTTTCGAAGACTACAATATTTCTGTACGAGCACTCTACTCTCGAGATCGGCTCGAACGAAAGCGCCATGGGGTCGGGGATTAAAATCTCCTCGCCGAAAGAAAAAAGATGGACGCGCGCGGGGTGGACACATTTTCCAGCGAGAAACTTAAGCTATACTCGGGACCGGTGCCGGTAGGCCGGTCAATCCGACATCCGTGGAGAACGAAGATTAACACGCTCCACGACACCCTGTAATCGATATACCTTCTTCCCACTGTGGCCTACGAGAGAGGGTTTGTTTACGAGCCGACAGGAACTCTCTCTCGCTGCCGGGGTAGTCGCCGCCGTCGCCGCTGGTGTTAGAGAAATGCGTTTTACGGTCTTCGCAGCTTTTGTCGACGCGACGAAAGAACACGGCACACAGAAGAGAATGGCGGCGGCTCCCTTTGCCTTCCTCGTTATATTCATTCGAGTCGCTTCATGCGCGAAGCGCATCGCGTTAATCCTCAAAACGCCCGCGGGCGCATGGCGGTGGGTGCAAAATAAGGTACTTACATTGTTACGCGGTTATCTCAATTTTGTCACCTTTTTCCTTTTTACAAAGCGGGGAATACGTGAGATATGATCTGATCTAAAGAGGTTTAATCTAAGCAGAAAAGCGATTATCTACCCAAATATAGAAGCACCGATAGATCTTGAATTATTAGTGCAGTGCCAAATTGCGGACTTTTAATGAACTATAATCATCAAAAACATAAATAGATAACTAAAATTTTCTTCTCACCTAATTTTAATCAGACTATTTTGTACGAGGCTTGACTATAAAAAAAATATATATAATACTGAAAAATTTAGAAAAATACAAATAATGTTTGCTAAAAAGGTCCCCGAAACATGTCGTATGTAAAATTTATTACAGTTTTGTTATTTATATACAAAGTATATTTAAATCTTTCAAGTAAAATTTAAAGGAGAAATTAATTAAAAAAATACGATTTATCTAGTATCGATAAAAATATTTGAAGCGCATGAAAGATTGCGCTATCAAATTGTTAGTAATATTCGTTATATTTCAAAATACATAAGAGATCAAATATTCAAGTGATGCATCGCTCTAGATTCATACGAGAGATCCTCAGTGGAGACACATGATTCTGGGAAGGTTGTAGGGCCAGTCTGGTTTTCGGGAATCGCGTCTGCGTCTACCGTCGGCCTCTTTAGTCAGGCGCCAACTTATCTCGAAAAAGCGGCGCCCTTTTACCCGGTTCTTCAAACTAATTACGAATTTAATAAAATTCTCGACGTTCCGTTCTCCCCACTTTTCTCCAACTAACAGAAAGGGTCTTTTCTTTCGTGCCTCCGGAATCATCTTTCGCAATAATGCACGCTGCATAACAACGATCTTCTTTTTGCGTATTCACGCTTGAAAATAAGAGAATTTATCTTAAATAATAATATATAATTGTTTTAAATCGAACGCGATGATTTATGAAAATAATGCCTTATCGTCGATATTCTTAATAATTATCGCAATTTTACTTTATATAGTTCAGTGAATTTCTAAAATTATTTTATCGCATATAATTATTTTATTCTTAATTGTCTATATTTTTTAAAATTATAGAGTCTTTTTTCTGTATAATTAGTGAATAATATAATTCACTAATTTAAAATTCTATATTCATTAATTTAAAATTCTATATAATTAATAGAAAAATAGAATAATCAATAGAAAAATTTATATTTACAGGTGGTTCTAACATCGATGCATAAATACCTTCCTACGATTTGGATAATTCGTTGCGCCCGTGCGACAAATCTTATCGACCTTTTTTCTCATCCAGCCTCGTCATTTGCTTTTAAGGAGACTGAATTTATCGCAGTCACGGCATATCAGGTACCATAAAAAAATTTACAAATAATGTCAAATTGACGTTTTCTTTTAGACCATTTTGGCTATCTGGTTTTAAAAAACCGCACAATTTTAAATTATATAAGCATTATATGATTCAATTCTTTTAATATTTATATTTTAATATTTATTTTTATTATTTCTCTCATATTAGAGTAATATTATTTACAAGAATGCAAAATGTTTTCTTGAAGAAATTATATTTAATGAAAACTTCTGTTTTCGCGTCATTTACAGAACGAAAACATCACGAAATTGAAGATTAACAACAATCCGTTCGCGAAGGGATTTCGCGAAACGGGACAGTCGCGATGCAAGCGTAAATATCATCAGATAGGCCATGCTAGTCGATCAGACGATGAAGAGGGCAATTCTTTCTCCGATTCGTCCGAGTCGAACCGTAGCGCGAGTAGCTTAGACGACTTGGCGCAGAAATCGGAGATCAAACATGAAATTAAAAATTCCGATGACTGCGACGATATTAAATCATTGGTTCCAATTGCCGAAGACCAAAGATCATCTTTAAAACTGGAAAACGATCACGAAAGTGAAGTGCCATCTCCTTTCCATAGACCCTGGTTAGACTCGCCGTCGCATAAACCAACGGCACCGATGATGCCGATGGTACCGTCAATGTCATCGTTGTCAGCGGTCAACGATCTGAGTTGGTCCTATTACTTTCGATCTTTGCAAGTGCCGTTTATCGCACAACAAAATTTGGCGAGATATTATCAGTATCAGTGCCCGATGTTTCATTTCAGGAAATTATGATTTGTACGAACGGACGTTGTTTCAATTTTTCTCGCGATGTTGTCGCAATTAGTTGCACTTTTGGCGCGAAGAATAATTAAGAATGTGTAAATAAATATCGATTAATTAAAATTTAAAGTGACCAAAATTTTTTTTTTAATCGAAATATGACAGATAAATAAAATTAAATTAACTCCAGACATTGACCTGGAATTCGTATATCTGGATAAATTACATTTTAACATTTATCTGTTCATAGGCCAAAGATTATTATAAATACTTATTCTATAAATCATTTTGTATATATGGTTTTAATAATATTTTAGTTAAAACTTATTTTATAATTGTAAGAGTTCACGTTTAACGTGATAAAATTTAATAATTTAACATATTTTGATTTGAAAAGTTAAATTATTAAATTATTTTTTCTTTAACTTTTCATATTTTATATCGAAATATAAAAAGTTATAACAATGAAATGTTAGTACATATACATATGTATATGTCCATATAGTTCCTATGTATTATTATTATTAAGATTTATTAGTTATTAATACGCTATTAATTAATTATTACTAATTAGTTATTAATAAAAATTAATTTAATCATATTAATATAATTAGAATTTAAGATTTATTTTAAGTTTGATGACAAACAAATAACATTCATCAATTTTTGTTACTAAAGTAATTTTATGATTTATTGTTAAGAAATTCAATTTCAATGATTTTAAAAATTAAAAAGATTCGTGAACTTACATTTATAAGAGAGGATTATGACATATATAAGAGATAAAATTATTTTTTTTCCGCAGAGTTTTTTTTATATAAAACTCATCGAGAAGAGAATGAGATATATTGTGATAACGGCCATAGTTAGGCTTATGATAGATATACATATATGAGTTAAATAAAAATATGAACAACAAACGAAAAGTAAATGCATATTTTTGAAATCTTGTTCGCTGTTTGTTCATTTTTTTTCGTGTTCGAAGTGCAATTTCGCATACGGCTAAATAATTCCGAAAAATTCTTAACTTCGAAAAATTTACAATTGCTGCTCATTCGTTGTTCGTTCCTTCAATATACCCAGTTTTGCGTACACATTTTATCGCATATATATGTTATCACTGTATATTACACAATTTGACATTTAAGAGATTACCAAAGAGATATTAAATATATATGTAATCTGTATATACGATTAGACGCAAGATTATTTTTTTATAATAAGATTATCTATATTTATCTATCTATAGTGTTTATATTCAAAAAGATTTAGTTTCTTCTACTCAATGAAATAAATGACAAACTGCGATATCAAATGCCTTATATATTAGTTGTTTGATATATTAATCATCTCTAGGCTATATCTCTCGTCAGAGGACGGTAATCTTTCTGCATATATTTGCAGTGCGCGCCTTTTTATAGTTTTTTCGCAGACATATGGGACCTGCAGTTTAACGCCGGTTAACCTCGGTGATTAGCTATTGTCTTCCGAGAGGTGGCAATCGAATAAGTTTCCATTGTTTCTGACCGGAGTTGAATACAGAGAGCAGATGCACTTTTTGCACCAAGATTGTTACACGTTCAATATTTTTTATCCATTTAAAAAAAGAATACAATAAATAGATACTCGAATGTATCAAAGTCCTTTCAGAAATCTCGAAGTTTATTGTTGCCTTTTTCCGTGATGTTGATTAGCTCTTCTGCTGTGAGCACATAAATATATTCCTCTCGAAAAATGAAAATTTACTTTGATAAATACCCATCATTTCGTTTACGGATCGTTAATAGTGAGAGAATTAATTTATTGTTGCTTATTAATCTTTTAAAAATTTCCTAAAGAAACAAATTTAAGTTTATTTCTCCTAAAAATAATTTTGTTTTTGATTTTGATTTTTCATGACTTTTATAATTTTAATTTTAATTTTTTTAACTTTTCTGAAAGTAAATTTTATTTTATTTTTCCTAAANATTTAATTTTTTAAATTCTCCTAAAAATAAATTTAATTTTTATATTATTTATGTTTTAATTGTATTTCTAGCTTGCTCAATATCTTCTTCTCAATAACCTGACTTGATTTTTTAATTTTCTAACAACCTTATTTTCTGGCTAAACCAGCAGAAACTCGCGATTATCAAGAAAGTTTTGCCTTTTAAGGAAGATACAATAAATTACTTCTTCGCATCTCTCTTCAGTAGACGACCTCCCACGCCTGTCACGTCAAACTTGAAACACGCTATCTGCGACACAGCACGAGTGCAAGATGTCGAGGAGTACGTCTCGCCTGTTTGTCGCCTATCCCGACTTCCCGACGATTCTGTTGACTCATGGACCACGAGACACTTCTGCGGGGCGCCTACTCAAGATGCAATTATTCGACATCGTCTCGATTGATTGAAACACAAATTTCCCACTACTCGAATGAAATTCGAGAATTTGATCTCATACGTTTTACATAAGAATTAGAAAATAAAGTGGAACTGGAAGTGGAACTTCACTATCAGTCATATGCTGATATTAAAACTTTTCTTTCTTAATACACATATTCATTATTTCAGTATAGAAAATTAATTTTTTTTAAAATTTTATTAATTAAATTTTAGAAATTTTAAATTAATAATATAATTATTGTTAATATATTTTTTCAATAAATAATATATCTCAGAAATCCATTTTAAAAAAAGACATGCTAAATCCACATATTTTGATTTTTTTATGACATTTTGTTGACATTTTGCGAAAATCTGATAGTATACCTATTATCGAGCGATCATATGAATGTGAAAGAATTAATTAATGCTGCTAATTAAAATTCTTTAAAAAATAAAAGATTACGGACGAAACTATAGGAAAATTATGGTAGGATAGACTTCTGTTTCTCAAAAATTAATTTTTTCTATGTTGTATCACGTATCAAGATATTTCTAAGTTCCGAGGGGGATATGAAAATATTTTAAAGCCCCTTTATCTTTATTCTCTCGATTACTGTCTTTTTGCTTCCGTTTTATTCAAAAATATTAATATAATAAATATATAATAATTACAGTATCTCTCTTAGTCTGACTCCTCCCCTTCGACCTGTCCGGCATGGGTGACCCTACCGGTAATTATTAGCGTTTTCGAGTAAAGCAGGTTTGATTGCTTTGAGAGTGATTAAATTCAATTTGCCATATGTTCGACCAAATATAGAGAGAATCTGATTAATATAAATATATATAATACATCAATAATATTAATAATATAAAGTACATCCCGCTATTTTGACTTCAAAAAATTTTTTATCCTGAT